TTCTATTTTTAAAAATATTGATGATTGAAATTAAAACTCTAATTGTCTCTGCCACAGGCAGTTTGAGAAATACTAGTGTAAGTTAAACACTAGAAATTAACTTTGGAGAAGAACTTTAAAATTACCCATTTTACATAAAATATGTTCCTAGACTATAAGTTGATTATGTAACAGCTCCTGTATGATGTGGGATAGGCTGAGTATTTTTTTTCACATGTGTGTGCAGTGTATGTATGTATGTATGAATGTTCACCTGTGTGGTTGGGCATACCTATGTACATTTGAAAGCCAGGTTTCGACACTGGGTGTCTTTCCCAGTCTCTCTGTCTTATATATCGATATTCTCTCTCTTGAACTTAGAGATGGATGATTTGGCCAGTCTAGCCACCTACCTGTGTCAGGGAGCCTGTCTCCACATCCTGTGTGCTAGAATTACAGGCAGGATGGCTACGCCCACCAACATTTACCTGAGCACTTGGGACAGAACTCTGGGCCTCATGCTTATAAGACATGCGCTTTACCCATTAGACACCTCTCCAACTCTGCCTTTTAAATGAGCATATGAATGTTTGTGAGTATTGTGTAATATGGAAATGTGTGTGCTTCGCACAGGGGCACGCGCGCATGTGCACGGCCGCCTCCTGTGCCTCAGGTGCCTGTCCCAGTGTGGGAGGCGAACGCTCTTCTCAAGCTCTGAATAGCTGCTTGTCTGGCAAGCTTGTTTTGTTATAGATTGATCAGTGAAAAATATGCTTTAGCCTTTACCTTGAGACAGAAATAAGCAGGAGGTTTGCCAAGTTTCTGTAACTTGCCTGTGAGACCTTGGACCATGTCTGCCATACAGGAATGTGGTCTTTGAAAACAAGCTTAACTGCTTCACTAACCCTGTCCTTGGACCAGTGTGAACTGTGTTTGCTTTGTCTTTAAAAAGGAATTGGAAAACAAACTTTAGTAATGAGTGATAGCCCTCTCAAATCTATCCTCAGTTTTCTGTCTCTTCCTCTTACCCTGTAATTTCTCAATTGCCACTCTCTCTGTCGTGTCCCGAATTACTTACAGTTAATCTTGTTTGGTTCTCTGCTGCTGCAATAAACACCATGACCAAAAGCATCTTGTAGAGGAAAGGGTTTTTGGCTTACACACCTCCATAACAGTCATCATAGAGAGAAGTCGGGAACCATGAAAGAAAGCTGTTTACTGGCTTGCTTTACATAACCTGCTCAGCTTTCTTTTTTTTTTCTCTTCTTCCTTTTTCTTTTCTACTTTTTATTGATTCTTTATGAGTTTTACATCATGCACCTCAGTCACATTCATCTTCCTACTCCATCATATCTGCCCTCTGCCCTTGCAACCTCTCCCCCCCCACAGAAAAAGAAAAAACAAACAGAAAAGTAAATGAAACAAAGCATAGAAAACATCTCGCCATGGAAGCTGTAGTGTATCGTAGTGTGTCACAGTATACCCCTCTGTCCATACATCTTACTTAGAATGTTCATCATAATGAGTCATTGGTCTGGTTCAAGGTCTCTGGTTCATCTGTCACACCTATAATATTGGATCCTCACTGGGACTTCTCCCAGTTATCCTGTTAATTGCCCTGTGTCATGGAGACTGCAGCTTTGGCCAGCAGGACCAGCCCTTTCACACGCTCCCACAGTTCAGAGATGATGTGGATCTGGCCTGTGTGATTCAGTTGCTTTCTTATATTGTCTAGAACCACCTGCCTGGGGATGGTGCTGCCCACAGCTGGTGGGCTGGGCCTATTCACAACAATCACCAATCAAAACAAAGAAACAAAAAAGCAAAGCCCCACAGACATGCCCACACGCCATCCTCAACTGAGGTTCCTTCTTTCCAGCTGACTCTAGTTTGTGTTAAGATGACAGAAACTGACTAGCATAGCCACTCAAAAAACTCACTCACTTTTACCTGAACTCAATTTGGCTAGGCTGGCTGAACAGAGAGAACCAGGAGTACCCGACATGGGCTCTCTTGCCAGTGAGATTACAGGCAGGCCACTAGGCTCAGCTTTCTTATTTCATGTAGGTTCTAGGGGATGGAGATCAAGCCCTCGTGGTTGCACAGCAAGCACTTTACTGAGCTGTCTCCCCAAGCCCTGGTGCTGAAATGTTATTATAAAAGTGAGACCTCTGAGGGCCACAAAATCTGAGGTTCATTTTTCTGGGGAAGGTGACATAGCCAATGTATAAGATAAGGAATGCAGCAATTTAACTTTCATCTGAAATTAGCCTTTTCTTTTGATTCTTCATCATTCAGGTTAGAAGTAAAGCTGGAGTGCAGTTGGAAAAGAAACAATAATAGCAACAGATCTATTAACTAAGAACTCCCTGTGCAACTGACTGTTAAGAAAAACAACCTGTTCTCTTTTCAGAGATGAGAAACAAACATTCAAAGTAAGTTTAGTGACAGAATTTCAATGCAAGCTTTTCTGGTTGCAATCTCTCTCCCTTTAACAGTGTTCCAGAACAATCACTAGGGGGCCATGCGGAAGTTGGAGTACCTAAGAAGACACGCTTATAATAATCAACACAGTGCTAGAAAGGAGTCTTCCTTTCCTCACAAGATGGGTTCATCCTTCAACATTTGTAATTTGGAAGACACAAGTTGAAGTATCAAGTGATCATTCATCAGCATTTACAAAGGCTGATAGGGACAGAGAAGCAATAGATGCGTTCTCTCATGAATCTTACAGATATTTATGCTTGTCAAAGTGTTTCATTTGACTACTTATCCTCCTGGCCTATCAGAGGTACAATTAAGATCTCTAGAAAAATTACAGAGATAAAAACAATTGCTTACTATCTGTCTTTGCACGGAAAATGGAAGAGAAAGCCTAAATCTTTTGAGGTTATTGATGAATCAGTCTGCCTTCATCATGGACTTGAAAGCCATCTTATAGTAAAGACAAAATTGGTTCTTGGCTATTTATGATTAAATTTTTCTTTCTCAAAGATTGGGCTATGCCCCACTCATAACCTTGATTACAAATGGTTCTGTACTGTCTGTTCCAGGAAAAGGCAACCATGCTTTTGTTTCAAAAAGGTTGTTATGACTACCTGTTGTTATGACCACCTTGCAATCATACCTTTGTTTCAGAAGGTTGTTATAACCAACTTGTATGTTCCGCTTCTGTAACCCAGCCTATTTGCCTGCCAAATTCTCCCATCTGGAAAACACTACCCCTGAACTATTAAAAACTTTCTCCATGTCCAAGACTGATCTCTTGAACTGTGCCTTTTAGGGAAAGACAGCCCATGTACACAAATACAAAAAGCTTGCTTTAATTAATTTGGCCATGGTGATTTGGGTCAATGGTCTTTCTCCTCAAATCTGTGGGATTATAAAAATCAATCACATATTCATTCTTTGATACCTTTTCTAGTTTATGAAGAATACAATTGGGATAGGTTGATCTTGTAGGTAAATATACTTACAAGTTGTTAAGGTTTTGGACCCGAAATATCTCCCGCAAACTATGTGCTTTAAAGGATAGGCTGTCCACTGATAGTGTCACTGGGAGGTAGTGGGGATTTGAGGAGGAGGAAGGGACTAGTTAAGATTCCCCTTTAAAGGTGGACTGGAATCCCTCTCTCTCTCTTACTTTCTCTCCTTTCTGGTCACCTGGAGATGAACAGATTTTCCTACCACATCTTCTCAGCTAGGATGGCCTCTTTTATCACAGGCTCAAAAACAATGGAGCCAAGTGAGTATGGACTTAAATCTTTGAAACCATCATCCAAAACAAATCTTTCATTAAGCATAGTGTGACAGTAATGAAAAGCTAGCACACAGATTATTTCATTGGTTCTATAAATTAAGATTTTGTTTTGAGCCAAGTAGTTGTTTTAAATTAAATCTATTATCAGCATGATTATATTTATCCTAGCAAGAAATTTTTAAAAGGTTCTTTTATTTACAGAAATAATCTTTGCATCAATTTAACTTTCTGTATGTGTGAGGTGATTAAGACAGAGTCACAATTAGAATGATTCCTCTAGTACTATCCTTCCTGCATCCTGAGTAACAGAAAGTCACTGGTATTAACATTTCCCCTTTACCCAGTTCCTGTTCCCTTATCACATTCCATCTACAGTCCCTCCCTGCTTTGAAATGGAGAAAGAAGCACACGGGAGGGTAAGTCTGTTTTCTGTTTTAAATCACTGCATCCAGCAGTGTTTATGTCTAATTTTTTTTGTGTGTGTGTGATCTTGGCAATTTCTCCCTCATTCTCTCTTCAATACTTCTTCCTATGCTTTATGGGTTGGTGTCTAAGTGCTTGCCACCTACAGATACATTTCCAAGCCACAGTCAGCCTTTTTCCACAGGAGGCCTGAAATGTAATTTTCGACATTTTTCCTCCCCTCCCCCATCTGACGTAGCTGCTATTAACTTTCTCCCACCAACCACCTGTTCCTAGTCTGTCATCCTTTAGTTTTCTCTCCTAACAGTTACCATTTCTCACCTTTGTTAGACTGTTTATAAACGTGCACCCAATGGCTACTGTTTGAGGGCTTCTCAAACAAGTTTTGTTTTAGGCATTTTACATCTATCCACTCACCTATTCTGTGAGATTAATACAATTACATAGAGGGAAGCTAATGTAAAGACAAGTTACCTGGGGGCAGTGGAATCTGCTGAGTCTGCCTAGCTTCATTGCTACCTTTATATAATGATTCTATCTCTAACTTCATCCTTAAATACTCCTGCCCCTCGATCTCCCACCTCAACCCCTCAGCCCACAGGCTGCCGACATTCCAATCATTTCCCTCGAGTCCATGCTCCCAAAGCCTTCACATCCTTGTGTCCTCTCTGACATACTGGTGTTCCCTTCCTTCCGGAAATTTCCTTCTGGAAACTTCCCTCGGAGCTGAAAGTCTCCACCCTGCTCTTAGGCACCCTCTCCTCATCCAGGCCTCTCCCTGGGCAACCAGTACGCATGCGAACGGCCCAGCTTTGCATGGCCACGGGGCCCGGCTCCCATCAGCCCCCGCGCGCTGTGCAGGCTGGGGGAACATGGCCGCTTCCGGTCTTGCACTCAGCCTGGCGCGGGGCTGACAGCGGCTGCGGTCCCGTGCGCTCCTCCTTCTGCATCTCGCGCCGGCGGCGGCGGAGGGCGCAGCGGCCTCCTGTTCTCGCGCCATGGAGAAGAGCTCGAGCTGCGAGAGTCTCGGCGCACAGCCCCCGGCAGCACGGCTGCCCAGCGAGGACTCACTGTCCAGGTGAGGCCGGGGCGAGTGAGGACAGTAGCCGTGCCGCGCCGGGACCGAGGCCGGAATCGAGCTTGGATGGAGACGCCAGGGCGTGCGGGAGGAGACGCTGGAGCTGCTCGTGCGGGAGGGAGGGAGGGAGGCCCGGCTGTGAGAGGATGGAGACGCCGGGGCATACCGAAGGAGAGGCGGGGCCTGGGGGAGAAGAGATGGAACGGGCAGAGTTGTGAGAGGATGAAGAGACCTGGGCCTAGAGAGGCTGGGCCGTGAAGAGAGCAGGAACCACGGGCGGTTATGGAGAACCCGGCAGCTGTGCTTCCTCTTCTGGGCCTTGGGTGTGAGAGGTGAAAATGCAGTTTCTTTATGGCCACTGCCCCTCTTCATGCTCGTTTACCGTCCCTGGAGGTTACTCCAGTTATGCTTAAGGACACAGCGATTTTACTTTATCAGGAGTTTTGTTGTCAGTGGCATGACATTATCACTCTTTTGTCCTAGTCACAGAGTTTGGGGGCCAGCCCATCACCAGACAAGTGGCCTTGGAGGACACTCTGAGACAAACATGCTTAGCTTTTGAAATGGGGAAGGGCGCAGCCTCCCAGAGCCAGCTTCTCAGCCAGTGTAAACATCAGTGACATTACCAACATAATGTACATTATATATGGTGTCTGTTTGGGGTACTGTTATTAACTGTAGATAATAGCATCATTATAGACTTGTTAGTTTAATTTTAAGCTTAATGTAGGCAAACAGTCACAGGTGACAGGCAATGTACAGGCAAGGTAGACTGTTATTTTCACTCACTATGTTAAGTGTATATCTACATTATTTCAAGTTTTCTTTTGTTAGTCTACAAGCGAAGTATTTATGTTTGACTCTTGTAGCTCAGCTTGTTTCTGTCCTGTCACTCTAAAGTTGTTCTTTATCTTTTCTTTTTATACAGAGGCTCAAATAAGAAATTATCTTAGGAGTTTTCTTTCACATACTCTACAAAATCATCTTTAATATCGCTTAGTGTATCACACAGTTTCTTTCACCCAGGTGACTGATGAATTTATTACTATTTAAAATGTTTTTCTGTGTGTGTCCTTGCATGAGTTTATATACAACGTGCGTTCAGGAGCCCAGGAGGTGAGAGTCCCTTAAACTGTAGGACAGACAGGTGTGACCCTCGTGTGAGTGCTGGGAACTGAACCCTGGTCCTCTGCAAGAGCAGCCAGTACTCTCAACTGCTGAGCCAGCTTCCCAGCTCTGACTTAAATTTTTACGAGAAGTATGCAAAAATTCGTAATACTTTCTATTATGTTGGAGAATGGAAATCATTCAGTTTATAACTGAGGTTGATAAGGCACTCATGTTTGAGTAGTTAGTTGTATATTTTTGACCCTTCTGGGAAGAATATAATATGAAAATGAACACTGTAACTCATTTCAGGGCTCACTGGTTTTTTAAATGGTCATACTCTGGTGAATTTGGATGAAAGGCTTTGGAAGGTGTGTTTTCTTGATGGATTACGTAAGTCATTTTGGATTTGTTGCTGGTTTAACTTTATCTTCTGGGTCAATATAGATCTGACATTTTGGCTTTAAAAAGCCAATTCTTTTCTTTATGCAGCATTCATGTAGTTTCCGATCAACAGTAGTAAGCAGTGTGTGGTGAATCTTGCTTGGTACTGCTGTCTCTATCTAGGCAGCTCTTGCCTTCTATGCACACATCAAAATTTAACATACAGGTTGTCCATCTGGTTCTATAACTTTACTTTTGTTGGTCTTGTTCAGATTCTTGGTATGTTCTATGGAATATAAACATAAATAAATCCCTACTGTAGGCCAGTTGTGAAGGCTCAGATAGACTTAACCTTCCACAGTTTACTGTAATATTACACTTAGGTCTAATTTCCATCTTCCAGCTTTGGTTAAGCTTAGGTTCATCCTCAGCTTACTTCTTTGTGAAACCACATGACACCCTGTGTGGTCTTTATTGCAGCATTTTCTTTTCTGTGCACAGTCCTCTCTTTACTGAGCGCCTTATGTCCTTTGCCGGTTTGTTTGTCTGTTTGTTTGTTTGTTTTGATTACTCTGACTCCCTATTTGCTAATTTTCCCTGTCAGTCATTTTAATGTCTCCTTTTGCTTCAACATATCCTCATGATGTAGGTATTATGGGTTGTACTTATTTTATTTTGATTTTTATCAGTTGCTTTCTGGTTGTTAAAATTGTTAGCTTGCATGTTCCATGTCCTGTATTTATACTTAATTTTCATTTACAAAACAAGAACATATATACGTACTGAAGGTCATTCACAAGTGTTTGCTTTTTTTTTTTTTTTGAGAACGACTCACTGTGTAGCCCAGTCTGGCCTTGAACAAAAATCTTCCGCCTTAGTCTCATGAGTGCTGTGATTACAGGTGGCTACCATCTCTCCTACCTCGCAACTTAATTGCATTTTTAAATTGCACGTCTTTCTTAAAATTATCATTATTTGGCAATAGTGAATCCTGGGTTACTGTTTCTGGGAATTTTAATTACAGTCTTATGAGGTAAAGAGTTGCCAGGATTCCTAAAGCATATTTTGTTGCAAAATCTCACCTGTAGTTTTAGCTTTAAGGTCACTTCAAAGTGATACTTTGGTAGGAAAAATGTTTCCAGTTTTTTCCAGTAGTGATAGATTTATATACAGACACATTCTTGTCTATTCAATTGTGACTTGTGGTGTGCTTCCTGAGGCAGCTGGCCAGGACTAGTGTTAGAAGTTATGGCTTCAGGACAAGGTCACTGTCTGGCTGCTTGTCTCCCTTGGTTTTGTTATTACTAGCACTTAGTCAGGTACTGTTTGTATTGGTAATCTAAAAATCATTTTGAACTTTATTACTTATAGACCCTAAAATAACTTTAATATTCTTATTTAAGATTCAATATTATTATGAACTTATTATCAAAATTCTTTTCCCTCGTTATTTGAGACAGGATTTCTATCGTAGCCTTGGCTGTCCTAGAACTTCCTCTGTAGATCAGGCTGGCCTTGAACTCAAGAAATCCACCTGCCTCTGCCTCCTGAGTTAAAGGTGGTGGCTGGAATTAAGCTACCACCACCTGGCTTACTATGAAGACTTAAAAAAAAAAAAAAAAGCCTTATTACTATTCAAAACTATGAAAGCTGAGATTAAAGCTGAGATTGGTCCTGTTTGCTTTTTTTTTTTTTTCTTAAATCTCATCTTTAAAGGGAATTTTCTCTTTGCCTTCTCTGTATTTATTATTTACAGCTGTTAATTATGGCCAAAAGTGTAGACTCTAGTACTTTTCCTAAAAATAGGATTTCTAATAAGATACATAAAATACATTAAAAAAAACTATCATGATGGAGAAATTATATAAGAGCATAAATAAATAAAATCAGTGCAACCTGACTTTGTACCCAAGGGGAGGAAATAACTGGGCAGGGCACAGATGGCCAGAAGATAGGAAGTTTATTTTGGAAAGCTGCCAAGTTAGTGCTATTGTATTAAAGAACCACTAGGTCCTAAGATAAATGTGTTTTAAGGTTTTGAATAGTGGAAAGTCTCCAGATTCTAGTATGGAATATTTTCCATTTTCTAGGGAAAATGGCCTTGAATAGGTGTAGTCCTTGCTATCTTTGTGCCTTGTTAAATAAATGGCTGAATCTCCTGAAGAGAGGCTTATCAAGGACTGGAATGAGTTTATAAGCCGGCTTCCCACAGAGTGTAGGTTAAAGTGTGCTTGTAAAAAGTGACACTGGTCAGATGGAAGGGGAGGAGGATCTCCCCTCGCAGTGGACTTGGAAAGGGACAGGGAGGAGGTGAGGGAGGGATGGAGGGTGAGATTGGGAAGGCATGAGGGAGGGGGCTACGGCTGGAATACAAAGTAAATATCCTGTGATTAATATTTAAAAAAATTAAAATTAAAAAAAGTGACATTGTCAGAAGGTTCCTGATACTCAGAGAACAAGGAACTGTGGGAGATGCCCTCCAAATGGAAACCATCATCATTTCAGTCCGCTTTTCCTGTAGTACTGTTACATGCAGCTAACTGTGCTCTGAGACCACCGAACAAACAAGCTGCGCAGCTCCTCACTGGGTACAAAGGACTCTTGGTAGGAACCACTTTCTTTCACAGACTATTGCTACTGTGAATATCCTGGAGCTTTTTGAATACTTTTTAATCTAGATTAAATTTTGACAAATAATTTCAATATAAAATTGGGCTTTCAATATAAAACATGAACTTTAAAAATATGCTTTAATGTATACCCCCCCCCCATCTAAAGACTGGTATGTGAAAAATTCTGATTTTTTTTTTTAATTTAGGTTTTATGTATGCACAGCTGGGTTTCTCCCCCCCCCCTCTCTCGTGTGTGTGTGTGTGTGTGTGTGTGTGAGAATGTAGGTACACATATGATAGAGGTTGATTTTAGATGTCTTCCTCTTCTCCATTTTTTTTTTTTTAAGTGGGTCCATACTGAAACTGGAGCTGACTACTGACTATTTTGCCAAGACTGACCAGGCAGTGAGTCCCTCTACCCTCACCATCCACCTTTCTTCATGCCCAGCACCAGAGATACAGAAGCACACTTACACCTGGCCTTTTTGTGGGTGCTGGGTATCTGAACTCCGGCCTTCATGCCTGCACAGCAAACACACTTTCTCTACTGAATTGTTGCCTAGGTCCTAGATTGTATGTTTTTATTGATATTCTAGTTATGTTTTGCAATGCTTATGAGGGAGCCTAGGGTTTTATGTCTGCTAGGGAAGTAGTGGTATAAGAATGATTAATGTGCCACCACAGTGTATTTGCTATAATGGAGGTTTGTTGTGGGAAACTGTGAGGAATAGAGAGCAGGGACGGAGAGAGAGGAGGGCACCAGTGACATACACACAGAGACAGAGACAGAGAGAGAGTGTAAGAGAAAGAGCTAGGGAGGCTGGCACATTCCTTATCAGGCACACACCTGGTGGTGGCAGATGATGACATCAGAGGTTGTTAGGGCCCTGAAAGGCA